GTCATTTCATTTCTAAAGAATGGACTAAATAGATCCTTTCATCCTCAACTAGAGGGCAGGCATTATGTTGTGTTGTGTGTAATTTTCAACTTATTACAGTAGTGATGACGTATTTTTATTCATTCTGCTCGTATTAAGCACTGCTGTGACATTATGATATAAACTTGATCGTAGCAACGCGAAACCGTCACACACGGCGAGGGGAGTTCAAAGGCCATAACCACTAGTGCTGGATAATGTGACGGGGTGCGTTGCGAGCTATTCCGCGGTTTACTCGATTGTGCTCACGGTTATTCGATCATTGGCGCCTCTCAGAAGGTAGGAAAAAGTAATTGGAAAAAAGTTGGCAGCCAAAGGTATGAGAGATGTGGGCACTGTAGTGAGAGTTTAGAAGAGTATATACAACGGAATAAAACAAGAACCCCATTGTTCATGATGCGTCACAGTAAAAAAGTTATAATGCTATATTTCAGATTAGGTAGGTTAAACTTATCATCCAGTAAGATGACATAGGTTTGCACCGGTCACTGAAGTAGAAACTACCTTCCCGTCAACCTTTGAGAAAAATATAGTTTGCGTCCTTATTCAGTGACTCACCGCGTAAGTGTTTCGGACTCTCATCGCAGTGAAGTGATGCCTGAACCTCCGCCGCCAATTGTTACAACCTCGAAGAAATGGCCTGTATATTTGTATTGTTTTGACAATACATCTGATCAAATGTATTTGCGGTCATCTATCTTAAACATGTTTCCCAGCTGCGGCATTCTGATTGGCCTCTCACACCACTGAAATACTTTTGATAGAATCTCACTGTGTTATATTGATACAGTCCCAATAATTGATTACTACTTGGGATGTCTAACAATTCTACCCAACCACTGTTCAATAGGCCACAAGACGGTGTTGTATCTGAGGCCTTACTGTCATCCACTGTCTTGTAAAAGGATCAAACATAAACTGGCCGAGAAAATCTCCAAGTAGAAGGACCATCCCTTTGAAGGGATTTAAAAACACCCATTAAATTCCTGATTCCATTGAGTGTTATAGATGGTCCGGGAGATGTGTTAAAATTTTCAGATTTACCGCTTGAGTCAGCGTTCCCTTTATGACGTGCTTGATGGCTCTTTATTTCAAACACTCAATTTTCAAGTAGACCAATGGAGATTTCAAGATTTGATTCCAATCATTTCTTACAGTCGCGGTGATCATTTGCCTTTATTCTCTCAAAATTGTGCAGCTCCTTGATTAATCCCATGAGTACACACTGGCAACTTTAGTCCTTGTAAATAAATAGCAGTAAACGTGAGGATATAGCTTGATAGAAGTTTTACTTCCATTATCTAGTTAACTTTTATTTAATGGAATGTTGTCATCGCTCGAAAGCAAATTGTTGTTGGCCGGAAGGCACCCGCGCTGAAGTCGAAAATTTGAGTGGTCATACAATTTTGTTGTAGCTGTCCTTCAGTTTTGCTTCAGATTTGTGTGCTTTTGATAGCTTTTGGGAGCAGAAATCATACACGTAGGCGTATTTTTTTTCATTTACATTTACTCGTAAAGTTTCAATTTTCCAGTACTGAACTTGCCGTCGTTATTTACGAGCAACAGAGGAGTCATGTGATATTCTCGCGGGATGCATACACTTTCAGTATAAGCCGGTATGGCGATACATGCAGTCCGGCGGAAGGTAAACGTCGTGCGAACAAAACACAATACAACCACTGTTTTGTGGAGAAATATTTTCAAAGTACCCGCATCACCATCCCTGCAGTCTTAGTTTCCAAATGAGTGAGGAGATAGCTATGTTTGTGGTGTTCCAGTTTGTTCGGAGGATGATAGCTCATCTATCCATGCATACATGGCGATACAGCGCAGGGGCTGAGATTTTGTTGAAGGTTGAATGGTAGTGGATGAATGTGTGTGGATAAACCGACACCAAGGCCTTGAAATGATGCTCTTTTAGGCTTAACTAATAAAATACTCTCCATGTTTTTAAAAGCGAATCGGGCACTCATCTGTTTGCACTGTCCGTTGGTACATTCGTTTAATGCCCTCAGAAGAGTAATCAACTTTTACTGATACGTTGCGAAACAAGAGGCACTGTATCCAAGTCTCTTCTTGTAGACAGAACTTTCCAGCACAGCTTGCATAATTGGTGACTCAGCACCTGATCTATAATTTTTGGCGTCCAGCTCAGGCAATCTGCGATGGACCTGCGGCCTAAACCAGACTGATCGATTGGGTGAAACTTTCTTCATTGATTTTAGGTCAGAACATCAGACACACACCAGTGCGTTTAAAAAGTCATCGAGGAGACTGGATCACTGACACGTTTCCCCATCTGCTGCAGCTGTAAAAGATTCACATAAATTTCGCACAAAGCTTTCAGTGGGCCACAAACAATTTCCGTAGTTTCCAGTGTATCCTTACGTAATGGCTATCAGGCACACGCTGCGCTTGTCGGTTGATCATACAGTCAGGCTCAGTCTGCCCCATATAGTATATGCCACTTATGAACTCCAAAATCAGCGAGATCTCAACTTACCTTTCGCACTTTGGGATGGGTTAACTGTGGAAAATTAGCTAACTAGGTTAAGTGTCACGAGTGGTACATTTCAAGACTGGTTTTTATACCAAAGAGTCGATTTATTTATTAATTTTAACCAAAGAATCTGAGTAAACTGGTTGGTAGATTAGCGCCTCCGTGGCTAGACCAAAAACGACCTACTTGGTCCTCCGCCTCAGAGTGCTTGGAAAGCACTTTGTGAGGCTATCGGATTTATAGCCTAAGCTCTGCCTTACACATGCAGTTCGGGCTTCGCCCCCTCTGATTCGCGTGCCGTTCCTTTCACTCATAGCGTACACACTTGGCGGCATTCCTTCTCCACTCTCCGTACATTCCAATTGAAATAAAAAAGCAGAAAAATGTAGCGGAAGAATGATGCTGGTTGGAAATCAGGACACAGAAATCTTGTAGTCTGAGTGCCATAAACAGTTTCAGGGAACAATCCCCAACGAGAGGCATGATTTCTCCTGGTCTCAATACCTTAGCCACTAAATATCGTTTAAATAAAACATCCCATAAGAAACAGCGCTTCATTAGTAAACATCAGCTTGTGCAGACGGTGTCTACGTGGATTACTTTCTTCACCCAAACCTTCATGACAATACAAGTGACTTTGAATTTAGCGTAACCTGATTGTTTGTCAATCAGAATCGTACAACTACCTACATGTAACCGATCTGTCTTGTTAAGCACCATCAAGTTGAGAGGACATCCGCATCTGGAATCACTTTAACGGGTCCTGCCAACTCCATTGTACTTGTGTAAGGAAGAAGCCTTCGCCGTTGGAGTTATTTATCAGAAAACACCAAGTGAACAGTTACAGACTACTGGACAGGGAAGCAAAACTCTCATATGCATCTTTTTTTCAAAAACTGTATATCCATCCTCCTTTTGAACGCGTCTTTCTGAACGTTTCTGGATATTCATTGACTGTTACTCAAATCCGAACAAATGCTACCTCCACAAATTCCGTAGTAGATCTCACTTTTCAAGAGACGCGAAGCGGAGTTACGAGAAAACGTACTACTCGCATGCCTCATCAGTAGCATCCACCGTTACACCTGGCTTCAGCAGACCCACCAACCCATCGCTACGCACCCCAACAACGCACTGATGATGTCATCTCGTTTGGTGATGAAACGTTTGCAATATAATTGCCCAGCTCAGCCAATAAGCCAATTACCATCTACGCTACCTGAGGTAGCGTACTACTACTCTGTTTTATTGATGAAACTTAGTTGTATCCTGGACTCCCAATGGATGCCACGTGATTATAATGCATGTTTCAAACGAAAATACCACTTCCACAAGCCAATGCTGCTTCGTTGAGCTGTGTTCACTCAGACTATTGCTAACCCAGCACATCGAGCAATGTTTTCAATTTGATCGGTCTTAGTGCTAGTCCGCAGTGCTATGTTGACAGTACTAATGACTTCTCTTCGTTGTTGCGACATTTAGAGTGCACATGCTGGGACTAGGTTAGCATGAATCTCCCACTTTGGTTTGCAAATCACGGTTACGTGTCTGAAAATCAATAAAACTCCGAAGATGTGCTCGCTAACGATGTAGGGGACTAATCTAAATGGAATCAAAATACTACGAATTCGTTTGTTTTCATTCACCGGAAAACTCTACATACATTTCCTTTTGGCAAATCCTGTCGGACGGTAAGACGGTTCTAGGATGACCTATCAATGGTCGAAAATCAAAGGGGCGTATTACAAGAAGATTACCAGGAGCAATTCAGACCCGTTGATGTTTGCTAATACTAAATAACAGTGAAGAATTTCCTATGATAGATAAACACTTTAGTCCATCTCTCGATCACTTGTTCTGGAAAGGGATCACGACACCTTGCAGTCTTTTTTCACGTCACCGTTTGTGAGCTCGTGATATTTGTTTAGAGTTCCTGTTCTTCTTCGCAACTAGACAAGAAATGTTTAAATCAGATGATCAAGTGAAACTCAGCCGGATCCATAGAAATACAAGTCTGCTACTAGATTCCAGATTTTCCTAGGCATATAAATAAGTTTTTTCATGAAAAAAACGGAATCTTGATTCGATAAACAGATGTGGCAAAAGACAGGTGAACAACGCGTCAGAAATACACTGACTTGGTCACGGTGTTGTTGCAATTCTACCTAATATTGAAACGAGCGGGAGTTACAAGGACTCTATCGATGAAATTGTGTAATATATTGGGAAATGATCCTTTTATTTACCGTGAACTAGGAAAGAAAACAAGTGTATTACGGTGTTTCATGCGGTCTTCCAACTGCCCCTACAATTAGCAACTAAGTCTGAAGTGGATAATTTCCGGATGGACTTGTCGCACATCAGTTGTTGTACTGAGCCGCAGGTCCGTTACCGGACTATTCGAAGCTCCAGCGATCTACACATCATTCGTTGATATCCCAACAACCAACTATACTGGGTGAATCATTATGATTCTGGAACATCTGACTTCGTACACCACCTACTCATGGGAGAAAGTTAATCTGGTTTGAAAACTGGCTTACTAAAAGTTTTATTCACTGACGGGCTTTCGATCGGTTCCCCTAGTATTGTTATTTTCATTTGGAGTCACGAAAGAATCATGGAAGAGATTTGCCGTCGTGCTCAAGGGAGTTTTACCACTGACGAACTTAAACAACCAAAATTTTCTGGTTGCTCAACAAGTGTGGACTGTGACTGTTCCGAAAGAGGCGAAACGGCTAGCCTAAACTGTGTTGAATTTTTAGACAAAAAGAACCGGTGAGAACGACGTTTTCCCGGTAGCGGGTGGTGCAAGCTGAAACCGTTCGAGCGCGTCCTGTCGATTTGTGAAATTTTCATTCTACAGGAGGAATTCAACAGTTGAAACGTCAATTTCTGCTCAGGAGTTCCAAAGTACAGAAGGGAACTTTTCCGGGAAAGAATGGGACTACCGTCTAAGGAAGTGTCATTTAAGTAGTCAGTCGATACCGCACTTTGTAAACTTGACCTGTATGACTCTAGGACACGTGGTCCCTTGCAAACGCCAGTTGACTAAGATGTTGATAAGCCCCTCGTAGCTGAATAAGTTTTATCTATGCGGTTGTTGATTCGGTTCTCCTTGTTTTCATGATATATGCGTATTCTCTGGGTCCCAGTAAGGATGAATAGGCTTTTTCTTCGGGCAAAAACCCACAGTTAAAACGTCAGAACATGCTCATTCCCGACAAAAGTTCGTAAACGAGGAAGCTTGGTTTTGTGCTGTGAAGTGTATCTCCCCCTCCCAGTGTTTCTGCAATGACCACTGACCCCCACATTCTTGTTTTATTAAACCCAGTTGCGTGATCACTATAGAATGTACTCCATAAAGACTTAAATACCGAAAATATGACAGTATAGTCAAAAGTCCGTCCACGACTTAAATACCGAAAATATGACAGTATAGTCAAAATGTCCGTCCACTTCAGTTCTTCCACCATGACCCATGTGAATTTGTGCGGTGGCGCAGGTTCCAGTGATAGGCATCAACAGTACAAGACGAGAAACGGGACCAACTGAGATCAGCAAAAGTAACGAGTGTACTGGTCACGGAATTAGCCTACTCTGAGATGTCTAGCTATTGATTCAGTGAATCTCTTGTGCCCCAAACTCGTAGAAAGCAGGAAGTAGCAACTCACTATGTCTACTTCGCGTCTTTTTTCAAATTCGAAGTAGGTTTGATAGAGGACGACACGATGAAGCAAATGGTCACCTGGCAACCGGAGAGCGTGATCAAGCTCACGTAACTGATTCATATCACATCACCCAGTTGGCAAGTTCTTACCAAAAAAGTCCATCGCACGTCGGCATTGCTAACTGGGTACCTAGACGATACGTGCGTAATATTTCGAAGGTCCTGATGTTCGTCTATTGCCTCCAGTGCACAGTGGTCGAATTCTGGGGATATGATTTGCTACTTGACCCCCTGCATGGTTATAAGCCTTACCATTTTTCAAACTATTCATTTCATCTCGTCGTCAAATGTGCCTGAACGGAATAAAATCAGGACCAACTCCGGAAGTACTGGCGCGCAGATCTACTGTGTGCACAAATCGAGTGAATTAGGGACGGACCACACTTACCATGGGCAGTAATTATAACACAGGAGGTGATATGAACACAAGGAAGCCCAAAGTAGGAAGTTGAAGCATTTGAAGTTCAAAGAATGCTGAATCATGAAAACCTGAGAAAGTGACAAACTCTCCACGAACTGAAACGAATCTGAGACAGAACTCAGATTCACTTTATTCACTTGGATAATTCCCTCTTCAAAATATATCTACCACTGATGACAGACTCCTATTTCCCCCCCTGCCGCAGTTACCCTGGAACCTTGTTCACACCTATTTGTCGATCCGGACGAAGAAGTGTAAACGGCGGTCCAGCGAGCAGCGGTTACGAAAGTATGCGCATCGGAACCAGCGAGCTTTCTTTATCACATCCAGACTCTTCAAGCGAATGCTCTGGGATCCTGACACCAGGTGGAATGACGAAAGATGTGCTCAAACCGAAAACTTTCGACGAGATCAACAGATATCAACGTCACTCATCAACAACTGGCAGTCGGGCCTCCGGCTCGGCGGGATCGGGAGGTAGGAGACTTTTCTGTTTTAGTATATCATGTCCACCGAAAGTATTATATCGTCTACGATATTTATTCAGATGACTGATGAATTTTCTCGACACCACTGACTACTGATTAATCAGTCTTGGGATCGCATGTGGACGACTCTGGCGCACTCGTATAAAATATTCTCAATAGTCTGTCCGCTTTTACTAGCTCGGTTGTTCCATGTCACCACTGTGAAACTTATCAGTACAGCAAGAGTTGTTTCGGTAACCTCTCAGTTTCGATAGTTTAAGATGAAAAGAGGCCATGCTTCCTGATAGCCTAGCCGTGTATATCTGTGTGACTAACATAAAGGATAATGAACTTGAATTTTCGCCGACAATGGGTACTCTATTGTTGGTCGATGATTAGAATCCAACGATAACTTCAACTGAAGGGGATTTCTTACAAACGCTTCCACTGCAGAGATATGACGCTAAACATACGGATAATACAGCAGTGGTCGCTTGATACTCCCACTGCCAGAAAATTAGCCCCATCAGTAGATTCAGGTGTAGTAGAGCTTGAAACACATGGTCCCCTTGATAAAACGGCTGCTTCAGGTTTGATACATACGTTTGTTTGAAAACCCCTGTCCTGACGCGGTTGTCGTGATAAGTCCACAGCAAATAAAGAACGCACTGATCTCGAATTTAGTGCATCACAAGTGCATATTTATGGCCATGCATGGATTTGGACTGCGGTATCTGACATATGAGACTAGTGCTTTACCACTGCTCCACTAGCGCACGCTGGACCCAGCTGAATTATCATATCAGAACAGGCGGATGTGTTCGACCTTGAGCGATATGACTAGTTTGCCCAACTGCCCAGTAATTGTCCTGGTTGTTTCGATCGATTGATCTGCCTGTAAGGACTTTTTAGTCAGGGTGCGCTACGGATAATTTTTTGGCTAGTTGTAGGTAGCCTAGACTCGCCGGAATATTCATGTCAGAGCAGTAAGATGATTGTTCAACCTGGAGTGATGATAATGTGAATTTTAGAAAGCTCACAAGCATTCACAACTAATTCGCCAAATGGCCACGGCAAGTAAGAAGATTAAAAGATATAGAATCGTGACCTAAGGGTACTACCGGCCAAACTTGTGCATCAAAAGATGAGTCTACATACAATAGGTAGTTAGATGAATATAGCCAATCGACACAAAAGAACGTACGCTATCGGAAGATTCCAAGGTATCGTTGGAATGCCAGACGGATAGCTGATTAATCACACTCAGCCCTCTTTATATAGTGTCATTCTTTTCCTCGCGTGGTTCGCCTCGAGTAGCTGAAACCGGTTGGGCGTTTCACAATTCACAGAATTTGCTAATGAACCTTCAAATCCACGCCGATGGCACTGTGGAGGGCAACAAAGCCTTCTTGCATTGATTGCCAGCTCGTAATGTAGTTGTGCAGTATGTTTATTCTAGTTACTAAAGCTAGGCTAGGATGAAGTAGTCCCTCGATTAGAAAAATCCTTGGACAGATTTTAAAGTCTAATGCGATCCACTGGTTGTCGAAAGGGTCGCTAGTGGGTAGCTTTGTTTTTTTAAGATGGCTGATTTTAAGTCTGGGTTTTTATTTCATGTGACAGTGTATTCCACACATCTGGTCCGTTGGCTACAAATCTCTTTGCTGATGAATAGTGTACAGTTTCCTCAAGACAATAAGCTTTGAATTTAGGCCATTTCCTAGCGGGCTTTCTGCTTGCCACTCCGATTTTCATACATCTCAACGAGCCACCCGTGAATCTAAGTTTACAGAAGTTGACTGTAGTTTTCTAGATTTTAGGTAGAACGCCTTTCATAGAGCACCGTCTGTGTTAAAGAAACCGCCAACTTATGTTGTGAAAAGCGCTTTCGATTTGGACACTTAATCATCAGAGTCTGTACTGATCAACAGATGACTGCTTTCATCCATTGAATCACACTACCATTTGTTACTTTTGCCCTACAGTTTCCCTTTGCAGTCCAATGCACGCAAACAAAGCGATAGAATCGCAGACTTCAGAACGCCCAGCACCTTGGCCACTCACAAACTCCGTTTCAAGTTTCCTGAAGATTAAACATCAGGTGAGAAGCCAACGTTAAATTCATTTAATAGGCTTTACAACCAAATGTCACTTACCTAAGGTGAGGAAAGCTTGTGGAGTTGAAGGAAGTCAGAAATCATGGCTGTTTTCCAGAACAAAATTTACCTGCATGTCATCCGAAAAAATTGAGGCAGAGATTGGGGCTACTGCAAATGCTCATGGAGCGTGCCTCTGTCTGTTAGGCTTTCCACATAGGGCCAAGGGTTTTCATTTCTCCGAGTTTCCTCCATGGAAGTGAACGGAAAGGTTCCCCGGGAAGACTACCTCTAGACAAAAAAACACCGACTCGTGAAGTACCTACCTACACTCCTGACAAAACAGAGTATGTAAATCGTCACAAGCTAGTCTTAATTATCCCAGTTCACTCCGGGGATAGCTTCCCTGCGCACCACCATTTTTCACGGTTCCCCTTATTCCCCAATACGTATACCTTATGTAGGTCTATATATTCAGGATGGGGAAAAGTGTTGAACGAAACTAATGCTATGCACGCAATGCATGTTGTCGTCACCATAACTCTTCAAAGATAACCGATACGATCTGGTAGTATCTCCATGTGTCCAAGCGGCACGATATCATTGCACCGGCCAGCGATTCACGGGTCGTGCCAAGTCAAAACCACTGAACGAGGATCAGCCAAGTTGACCCAATGGACCAAGTTAAACCTGGCAGAATTACAGTAAATCTTGATGTCATGGCAGTTAGCTGCTCGTATCCAACTGCAACTACCGACTCTATTTACAGTGTTAGCCAGACTACTAAGACTGACAGATTTTCAGTTCGTAAAAGATACCAGACAGCTCTTTCGGTGTGACATTCGTCTACACAATATAATGCTTAGTATGGAGTATGCTGATAACGGTGTCGAGGAGGGCGCTGAAGTGTCATCATATATGGGATAACTTTCCCTGCAATAAGTAGGTGAGTACCAGTCTATCGACTGAACTTGGAGTTGATGCTTAGGAACATGAATGGGCCAGTGCGGATTTAGGAGGACATGCGGTATAGTATGTCTCACAAAACAGTAGCAATCAGTACGACCCAATGCGGGCGAATGTTCTCACTCAGATCGTTTTGAGAATTGGTTTAAGAGCCTGAAATAATTCATACGAGTTGCATAAATATGAGCAATTATAAAAATGGAGACCACACTTGGAATCTGTTGTTGGAAGGGTAGCAGCCTAATGTTTAATCGAAAGCACTGCCGCACACACGATTGGAGAAGGCCAGGAATGATAGGTTCATCTCACTCTCACATTGAAGCTATCTCAGTTCTCGAACACACAACTCCAAATTTGTTCGATATGGCGTCTACTTAAAAGAATAATACTGGAGAATTAGCGTAATACGCCCATTTGCAGATAAACTGGGTTTTGAGAGACTCACTTGGAACTCAGTTGAACGTCTCGTTTATGATATTTTTAAGCAAAAAAACCAACGAGAAATTTAACTGGGTCCCGGCGAGTCTCTTGCAGAACCCAGTTTGTTTGCAAATGAGTGCATTTGGCTAATTTCGTGCAATTTGGTTTCAAGTAGATTGACCAAAATTCGGGGACAGCGCCTACCTGATGAGTCCCAAGAAGAGCGAAAGTGGTCGTCGGCTGTCGAACAAGTTTCAGCAAACTTATGAGTAGTGTATTGCGTCAACTCTGCAGAATATTTGAGGTCTGTGTCCATGTGATGAGCCGTCAAACAGGGCGGAAACGGTGACAAACTATGGACAAGTTTTCACTAACTGCACCATAGATCATACCCAAGTTAAGGCGAATTCTCCGCACTAAGGAGATATTCCTATCAACCTTACGGGTGCTCTCTCTGTGACGGATTCACTGTAGCCTCGCCTTCAAGGTGACCGCCATAACTTCACAAGCCTCAGGTGCATGCTGTACAAAACTGAAAGTCTCTTCCTTTCGTGAGACGATGTTTTTTATACTATATTAGACTTTGGATAAATTTTGGATGTTCGTTTTTGCCGTTACCATTGTCGTGATTGGAACAGAAAGGGGGCGCAAAGGTCGCTGGGGAGCAAATTGCATGCATTACTGCCGTTCTACTTCTGCATGAGATGTTGTTTTGCATCGGATCATAATATCTTCAAGAGCAGTCAGGTAAAACAAAGCTTTGACCAGATCTTCAAATCTATCGTTCAAAACACTCCTGGACTTTGCCAAAAGATAATGCCGATAAAAGCATGAGCCAACGAAAGACTCCTTTCATACGAGTGAGTTAACAACTCTGGACAGTAGATGAAAGCGAGCAGTCTTACGGAATGAATAATATGGTGGATAAACTCGGTTATAGTGACTTCACTTCATGTTTCATTATTTTTTCACTTTGAATCCGTTTAAGCCCATCAAACTCTGATTGTGCCCATATTGCTCCGCCAATAGCATTCTACCTTTCTTAGCTTTGCAGTCAGCTTTTTCTTTCTGAATGACTGATTTTCAACATAGCGTGACTGTGAACTTAGATCGATCTGGACAGCCACCTCAGAACACGTATCGATCGTTGACCTGCTACAATGAACCTCTCATGTTGAAGCGATTGGTGAAATACAGCAATGCAGCAATATATCCTTGGTAAACATTCGCGAATAACGTGTCCTATTTACCCTTAATTATAGTTAATTGGGGAATACGTTTCCGGTTCGTGTTCAGAAGATGCCATTTAAATCTGTGTCAGCTGAGTCTATAGAACCGCTACTAATATTTTCAAAATTGACATTGGTTAATGATTTAACTGAAGTTTCGCAATCGAAAAACCGTATGAGAATAGTGATAACCATTTTCATAAAATGGTGGGGTGTACCGAATTATTCTACACGGTTTCTATTCTCACACATTTCTCTATGTAAGAGCGATGAAATATTCCCAGCTAATGCTGTTTTG